TATATTGTTTATAAATTTCAGGCATAGCAATGCGCTATTTTAAATAGGGTTTCTAGTTTATCTTTCTATACTTGGGCTGGTTTCCATTATCTTTTACGAAAAAGAAAAGGAAGCCCTATGGACTATAGGATGCGTCGAAATTTGCGCGATCAAATGCATTTTTGTGTATATTTATTAAATAGCACAAAATGTGCTAAATTTACTGGGATGAATGGTAAAGCTGTATTACGTTCACCTTAATTCTAACATCGCTGCTAATGTATCATATTTTCTTGTACTTGTGTTTTTTTGTTTAGCTTTTTTGGATACACCACGAAAGCAATAAAGGACAGCTCTAGCTACAATCACGCGTCAACTGAAGACACAGTTTTATCAACAGTGATACCCTTCTGTGTAGCCCTGTATCCAACACGCCGGCCCAACAATGTATCGTCCGCATCTTCAAGCGGACCCATCAGTTCAGATGTTGATGTATGTTTTCGCTGTTTGCGGCCTCTCATCACTTGGACTTCTGTTTATCTGTTCGTTATGCTGTTTTCTTTGCCATCGAAAGGAGGCCCGTAAACAAGAAGGTGTCACCACAGCGGATTCGACGAGCGTTAACGACGTCTTCTATCGCAAGAAGGTAAGCAAATCAATCATCTTTAAAGAGAGATATGCCCAAACATGCCTGAGAATTCGTCCGTGTTTATCCGAATAAATGCGCGCAGGTGACAGTTCTGCTAGTTAGTTCACGTACTCAGAATAGAATTTAATGCCAGTTGCATACAGGACCTAGACAATGATTGCTCTGCTAGCACACGCCAACCGGCGTGTGCGTGTCGAAAGGAGCAGAATTTTCATTGGATGTTCTATTAGGTTTTGCACTGTTACAAATTTTTGTGCCCTATTAAGAACCCCGGAGACTATTCTATTTACAGATCGTGAATAACAACAGTGATGGTGTCACAATAATAATATAATAATTAGTCGGTAAAATATTTTGTATAATGGGGCACTCTTTTTACTATGTACCTTTTACAAGCGTTGTTACAGTTATATGAATAAATCAAGGTATGTTGTACTATATAGTAGATGTAACATACCCCCAGCGGTTTAGGGGCAACTTATTTTAAAAAAAGGAGAAAAAATACACGTAAGATTTTTGGTACAAATAGGTTTTGTTATTTTCCATTGGCATCGTGATCGCTAAATTTCTGCTAAATGTTCGGTTGAAAAAGGCTAGATGCTGCTTGCACAAGTCCCGCTAGCGATATCTATTGCTCAAATATGTGGTCAAATAAATAACGTTCAAGTGCTATCGTTTGCTTGTAATTGGTGCCCGCCAAATTTTAGCCATATTTTTATAACGAAATCTGTTTTTGAGTTTGTATATTACATTTTTAGAGTTCGTCCCTGTTAGTATGTTTTTTGTTCTATGAAATATAAGGACGCTATTTTCAAAAATGGTTTTTTTAACACTGGAGCTCAAACTTGTATTTCAATTTCATTCGTTGGCAATAATAAAGTTGTAGGTGCAAAAATAATCTTTTAAATCTTACGAATATTTGGAAACCAATTAAAATCAGCGGCAAAACCCTCTCCTTTAATCGAATTGTTGTTCACATAAACAGTGGCGGATGTTTGCTGCAACCTAATAAAAAAAAATACATAGAACTTGAAAACGGATTTATAAAAAATTTGAGCTAAAGGAAACTTACATGCTTATCAACGGAAATTGTCGAACATAAAGATAAGTAAAACAAGGGTTAGCGCGTCTATTGAGACATAGTGTGCCCAACATTTTATGTTATTCAATTTTACACTCGATGTTGTTCACAACCAAAAGCACGAAAATTTTAATCGACTTTGTGAGTGCTGAATTTTGATGACTGAAAGATGTATGCTTTAGCCTTAAGGAAAAGTTTTTGTTTTATGAAAGACATAAAGTTTGTATTTGTGTTTTTTATTATTATTATTGTTCTAATTACCATTCTATGATCTACTGAGTGGTGACCCGCTTTTTTTTTATCAAGTTATTAACCACTTTTCGATAATATCCATCTGCCAGAGAAGCACAGTAATGGCTCCCTAATCAGATTAGTTTACGTGATGAGAATATGCTAATTATATTGGCGTAAAAGTATAGTATTAAGATTTGATATATGTGTGTATGGCATAAACATCTACCCTCGATGATACGTGAGACAGCTCTACTTATTATGTTACATATACTTACACTAAATATATGGGCAAAACTTAAATACAGTTGCTAATATACAGTTAGAGCTTGATGCACACCATCTACAAAGTACCTACATGTGATTGTAACTCGTAATTCCAGTACGTGAAACCATCAAAATACTTGTGGCGATAATGCTGCTCATTGAAATATAGTTGATTACTGTTGTCCATCTAATACGTAAAGTTGTATGTCGTTTTCTATACTGTGCGGTACGTCATTGCTGCGATGACCAGATCAGCCCATTAACGCTTAAGGGAGAGCTTCGAACGCCGCAGCCTTCGAATGTAAGTATTCCGCCGTAGCCTTTCGTGCATGTAATGCTAAATATTTGCTATTTTTATCCATACCTACAGGGAAAGTCTCCTTTGAGCGCGCCAACGATAACCTCACAAGCAGATCTCTTTTCGCATGGCGCTGACCCGCCCTCGTACACGCTCGAATCGCTGAGAGAACGTGCGGTTCCACAAAGCTACTCGCCTGCTTTCCTCTCGTTTTCCCAACGGTTACATAGCCACTTCGCAGCGACAATCGAGGAACCAAAATCTATCAGTCCCATAGAGGCGGACACACTAAACCATATGATCCACTAGTGCCCCATAGTAGCCCTCACCTGTAAAAGATACGATCATAGGGACTAGTTGTAGATTGTGCTCGCTAATAAAGATCCGTCAGTTTATGAATGGAAAATCGTTTGTGATATATTATTACTATTCAAAGAAATCTCTGAATAAGGATGATTATTGACTGTTGTTTATGATAACTATACTGCGCAGTCAATTAGAAAGATAGATGCCCTACAACAAAGGAAAGATAGCGGCGATTGATTACCTTATTTAACACCGTTCTATTTACCTAACGGCCTATTTTTGATATAATATGCGATAAACATTGAAGGCTGAATAAATTTCGAGAGAACCGACAAACTAGGTCACAGAATATCGACTCTCAATATATATTTTATTAATATTCTGTCGTTTCGTTTTTTTACACGTGCCATCTTAGGCTATTCGCAAAACATTTTTTGCTGCTTTTACAAAACGGGTGCCCAAAATAGAGATGAAAATCAGGTAAATAAAGAAAAATCGTCATCATGCGAGTTTTTCAAATTAAAATAAACAATATAGACAAACTTGGTATAAAAGCGAGTACAACGACATAGTAAATGAATAAACAAAGACTGTTTGCTTAACTTATGTTACTAAATGCCGACTAAATGCATACTTACAGGATTGAAAGCAGTACATAAACCAAAGATTGAATAACCAAACTCGTATTTATTCATTGAGACATAATATACAATATAAATACATCATTAATTTCTACGTGATCGGCATTCGTGCCACTTTTTATCCAAGTGAGTTATATATATGCGTGTACCATCGCTATCATCGGCACTATAGGAAAGCTCGTCTAATGTGATAATTACACCCATACCGGTTCAGCCTCCACTCCGTTCCCTCCCACTGATTCTAACGCTAGTTTATAACACCTTCTGCATTTCTCAACAAGCGTTCGACCGTAAGACAGTCATTCGTAACTTGTAATTATAATATATTGTTGTGCATTCTTCTTATCGTTTTCGCTGGAATTTAAAAGCGAGATCGACTCTCTGTTAAATGGAAGAGTCCCTACTGACTCTACCAATAAGCACCAACGGCTCTGTGCACGAGTTTAGGTTCACTTTTTCTGTTGTGTCTTACCACCTAAATGGCAAACTATTTCTATAAAGATTTGTTTGTCGTCTGCGTCATTTTTTGCTATGAATTTCCTAATCACTGTCGCTACCTGACCCACTTTTGCTTTTCCCGCTACCTACGGATTTTTTTTCATCGTCAGATCCCGAATCTTTATCTGACCCGTCCTTGTCAGACGATCGACCTGCATCGTTGCTGGTATTGTTGTTACTGGCGCTTGCATTGCCGCCTTCCTGTCGAGCCTTCTTATCAAAATAATCTTCTTCCTCCTCGTCTGACTCCTGAATCTTTTTGGCTTTGGTTTTGTTGTCTGAGGCCTTTCTTCGTCGAATGCCGGAGTCATCTGAATCTTCCGAATCCGAATCGGAGTAGATGTTTGAAGCAGCCTGCTTTTTCTTAGCGTTGTTTTTGATCGCGTTGAGTGAAATTCCATCCTCGTCGTCCTCCAGGTAATCTACAATTTGCCAAAAAAACAAAAAAAAAGTTTGAAGATCGTTATGCTTTTTAGCTACTTGTGTAACGCCGTTCACTTGTTTACGGTAGGTACCGACTTTAACATGATATGTCCGAAGAGATGAAGTCGTATTTTTGCTTTCAACTATAAAAAACCCTTTAGAAATCTTGAACAAGAATTGCGTAAACATATTATACGAGGACGACAAAATTATCAATAATGACTCGAAGGTAACTGTTTTGAAGCTTCGAAGGAAAATCCTCCACAATTCCTCTTATGATGCCTCAGCTGACCTGCATTAATTCCTCGCGCCCTGTCCTTAATTCTCCGTTGCTTGTTGTCTCGTCGAACAAACGCACGAAGCTTCTCTTCTTCTTTACGCATCATTTCACCACGATTCTTTTCAGGATCCAGGCCAACCGTTGGAAGCACCCGAACTTTGTTGGTTTTTTGGGATCGTCCCGCGAGTGAAAGAGTCATTTTTCTGTAAAACAGCAAGATACGATTCGCATATAAAGATATACGAACATATATAATTTACCGACTATTTAATTCTCGTGCAAAGTCAAAAAAGTTAAGACCAAATGATATCGTATTAAAATGTTTATTGTTATTTTTCTGTATATGTAATTTTGGTACGACTATGATAAATTCACAATTTATCTTAAGTGTGCCTTAAGAACGTTTGTTTTTACGATTAATTCTGTCATTTTTTTATTTTTATCGTTTATTTTTTGTGTAAGTGTAAAATCAGTTGGAAAATGTTGTCAAGTCTTTGTACTCCACAGCATAATGATGAGATGTACATATGGTGGAATATGATACCACTCTGTACCTGTGGGTAAATGAATCGGTAGAGTGTGGTCGGAACGAAAGCTTTGTTCGGAATACAGCCTGTCCTTGAAGACCTGTGCCTTGTCGAATAAACAAGTGATTGTGGTCTCCACTCACAAGCGTATGTTTGTGAACGTCGAATATCTCAGCTCCAAGGTGCAGACTGAGTGATCCATCAGACCACCGTACAAGACGCGCATTGCTTTGTTTCACCGGATCACCTGTATCTGGATCATAAACCGTCCTCCATCGAACGGTGTTCTCAACCTAGAAAGAAAAACAACAAGATTTTATGACGATGAATTTACGACTTCATAACGGAAAAGATTTTGAGTGCTTGCGAAGAAGCTTGCTCATATTGATTTTACTTAACATAAGCAAATTCAAGGAACAGGCGGAAGACAATAATCGAACGAAGCTTTTGTTCTTTACTAACAGACAAGATAATTCGTAAATTTCACAAATTATCTAATGGCTTAATTAGTTGTACCTTAAGCTTAAGCCTCGCTCGTCCTTCTTCGTCAAGAACTTCATCTTCGTCGACTTCATCTTCATAAGTTTCAGGATCGTACGGCCGAGTTTCCACTGAAAGAAAGTTAGGCAATTTAACAAAGTGTAATTCATGACCTAGATCGGTTTGAATTCGAGGCACCTCGACATCGATACGAGTCTCAGGTGGAGGCGCCGGAGTCTCTTCCGCAGTCTCTCCTTCCTCGTCATCTGGACCCTCTTCATCGAGGTCACCCATACGACGAACCTACCCAAAAGAAAATAGCAAATCAAAATTGCAGACAAAGATGTTACATGATGATAGTGCATATACACCCTCATCTAACGCAGCAATATCGAAAAATAACAGAACAATGCCAGAGTTGGTTCCGCACCTCTCTTTCGGGTTGGTTTTTTTCCTCAGCCTCGTCATCATCATCATCATCATCACTTATATCTCCGAGTTCCTCCCCAAAGATATCTTCAATTTCAGGTCGATCCCCGCCAGCTTTGTCCACCTCTTCATCAGATGTTTTTTTCGATTTCTTATGCTTCGATTCGACTTCTGAATCCGAGTCCGATTTACTGCAGAACAAAGAAGACAAAATGCAACTTAAGTTACTAAAGGAAAAATTATAGAACCTTGTAATTAAAAAAATATCACTTATAAACACCTCGTTATTAAGTTTCCTGAAATCCCATAAATCGCTCATTAATGAGCAGTCATTTCTTAGATTCCTTGCAAAACTAAAAAATCTTTGGTATGAGTTAGGCGCAACTCATAAAAAACACATTTCTTAAACAATTCGTTGAGTAAAAAAAGAGTTGTTCATTATAATTTTCAACCATGAATACACAAGTGTTTGAGAAAAACCACAATAAACGTCAGTTATCAATTTATGAACCACAGTACGATAAAGCAAAATCCTCAGTTCCTAAGTTAAGGCTCACACGAGTTGGTCCAGTCGTCAAAGAAAATCTACGCTATATGCACCCGTAAATATGCACATGAAAAGGCCATCCTAATTCAAATACACTTGATTTTTAAACATTTTCAAAATCAACCTTCTTTTCTGAGCGCTGCCTCTGCTGGCAAGACTGCCTGATGCAGCTCTGGATCCGCTTCTTGAACGACTGCCTGAACCACTGCGACTTCTTGCGCTGGCAGCACTTCGGGAACGAGACCGCGACCGAGAACCTGAACCGTGGGATCTTCGAGACCCGGCAGATGGCGTCCTACAACAGACATAAGTCTTATTTTTCGTCCTCGTTAATCGAATAAGGCCGACAAAAATCGTGGTACAGGGCATACAATCCACTGTTCTTAGTAAATTTATTCTGCCTATAGCTTATTGAGCAACGTCGGTTTTAGCATTGGGTATGTATTACCTACTTTCTTAACAACAAACCAAATGAACAACCACTACTCATTTAGTAAAGACTAAGTTTTATGGAGTTATGGCTCAGACCAGTATGCACCTTGACCTGGATTTAGACTTCGATTGAGATCTCGATCGGGATTTTGACTTCGAAGGAGATTTCGATCTGGAGCGAGATTTCGATTTGGCAGACGCTGGAGACTTCGAATTCGAATTTGACCGAGATCGGGATCTGCTAGCATTCGAAGCGACACTACCACTGCGTGAACGGATCTGTCGTTCTGGACTCGGTGATCCCGACCCACTGCTTCGCGCGCCACTTTCTGCAATTAGGCGTCAACAGCAACAGTAACGACACAGTGGGATCAAAGTTATTTTTTGCCCTATATTGCAAAAATGTGTACAGGATTGTGCCAAAAATGCGCTCACAACATTTTATATAGTACCTTAAAAGTAAAAAATGAAGCAGCAATATTTACCACAATCTCTTGAATAACAATGCCCACTTTATCTACAATAAAGTTTGCCTCTCTAAACAACGAAACATCCATAATCTTATGTTCAATGAAAAAAACAGCTGTATTAAATCAAAGATTAATGATTAAATAAACAGTGGCCATCGAAGTATTCGATCATTTTGGGGAAGTATGCTTATCTCACGCGCACCATAATCATGCCCAATTTATCATCAATTACAATCTACCGCATTTCGTTTAGGTACACACCGCTGTGTGATTTACTTCGGGATCTGCTACGAGAAGACGACTTCTTTGACTGCGCTGACCCGGACCGCCGACTGGCAGGAGAGCCTGAATGGCTCCTGAAACAAAAAAAAAAATATATATAATATAATCTGAAACTAAATACAGCTTGGAACCTCTATGGTTGTATCCATTGTTAGCGACTAACAAAAGGCCAGCCTTTTACGATAATGTTTAAGCTCATTTTAAAACGAGTCTAATGTAATTCATTAAAGTGCACAAGTTCTATAAGGCGTGCACTTTTTACCGAATATAATTTTGTTATAGCTGTATAAAGGAAAATTTTGGAATTCCTCAATTGTATCAAAACTGATTCAATTCATGCTATAGAAACATGCTTATACACATTTGGCAAAAAATTTAACTTATAGGAATGATAATCCATTCTCATAGACTGACCCAGACTATTGGTCGTACATTATTAATAACATTATTTATGATGAACAAACCAAAAAGTAGGAATATATTTCAATCAATATCGAGCAAACACAACATACCCAGAATATCGAGCAACCGAGAGACTACTGTCTTATACAAGGTAATTTTTTTAGTTCCTTAGAAACTGCCACTCTAACTCAAATACCACTAAACTATGATAAAATCTATCTAGAATTAAGCGTCTTACCTGGATCTACTTCCGCTCCTGCTACCGGATCCACTTCTTGAACCGGAGCCACTTCTACAGAACAATAATTATTAAGATGTCAGGAAGAATTAAATAACTATATGACTGACAATGAAAATACTCAGGCTGTAACGAAATCGCTAAACACTTTCACAAAACAAATTAGCAATAGTCTTCCGTTGACTAAATCTGGTGAACGCGTAAGCATACCACTTATTAATTTCTATTATTAAGCACTCACTATAATTATGGCTGTTACACGAGATGCAACATTTTGCAAATAAGTTACCTATGGGATGGGCGACACCTAATACCTAATAAGCTGTACGCCAAAGTAAATCCTGCAATAGCAATGGCGCATATGTATTTCGTGTCCGCCTCATAAAAAGACTAGCTTCTACACAACATATTTCCAATCTGAGGTAACTGGATATATCAAAGAGCTTGCCACATACAAGGCTTTACATATTTTCATATAGTTAAGCCAACCAAGTGCACTTGTACGAGGTGCAGGTGCATACGTACAATTATACATAGAAACGAATGTTTTGTTTAATCTATATAATAATGTCTTTTTCAGCCAATTTAGATTTTTTCCTTTTCGTTTGTTTCGCTTTCACCTTTTCATGTTTAAGCTCAAAGCTAACGCGATAAAAAGACCGCATGCGTAAAATATCGAAAAAAAACTAGGATAACAAACCACCGCAATTAAGCAGTAATTAACGCTTATTAGTTTCGATTTGTGTTCTTTAGCCAAGCCGTTTTGCGAATGTCAGAAAAAAGGTAATTGTCAAAAATTAGAGAATGGCATTCTAGCTCAAAAATCTATTAAAATCGCTGGAGCCACGTCCGACTACGACTAGTGAGATCATTATGTGAAGCTAATTTTTTAAAGATTCATTTTTAGAGATATTTTCACGGATGACTGTTGTCACACACGTTGCTTCCAAAATATTCGAAATCCGTGCCTTTTTGATCCTCCACTTTCACTATCACTACTGCTGGACCCCGAGTGAAGTTCACGCCGAGACTTTCGTCCCATGGCGTCAAATCGTTTGTCTCGACACAAAAACAAGTAACGCCACCACCGTTATCACTTTCACGACAATAGACGAGTTTAACTCAAGTCACAATTTACTTCCGAGCTTTCACAAGCGCCGGTAGGAGTGCTCCGGCGAACAAGATGTAGAACACAAACAAAAAATGAAACTCAGAAGACCAATGGATGCATAGCGCTAATAAACAAAACATTTGGATTGGCGGGCGTTTGCTTAAGCAGCCCTTTCCACGTATTGGGCATCGGTAAATACCACCGCTCCTTCCACACTGCGTGCTGTCAAAGAAGACCGCTGTTGAATAAACTTTTCAGTTATTTTAACCATGATTTACGTGTTGATCTACAAAAGCACAGCCAAGAACAATTTACGAAAAATTGCCTTCCGTTATGTTGTTGTCAGCCATCAGTGGAAAAAGTAATGAAATAAACTAAAAAAATATGGTAAGAAAATTTGGACTGAACATACCTAATTAGTGAATAATCGAATTAGTGAAATTAGTGAATAATACCTTGTCTAGGTGGTGTATTATAGAATACATATATTAATTATCAAATGAATATATGACGGTCAAATTAGCATTTTCTGAGGTCTCGGAACTGTCTTTAGCACTCTTCACTTGAGCTCATGAAATTATATAACAAGAAAAAAACACAACCGATTCTAAAAAAAATCGTAGTGCTATTTTGATTATATTCTACGACAAGCGTTAATTTTCTCATTCAGCAGTTCAAAAAATTAACCAATACTGGAAACGATAAACAAGTCACCCAGGAACACAAAAGAAGCTCTGAATGAACGATCTTCTCAATGTTGCCTTTTACATTATAGGTACAGGCCTTCATTCCAAAATTCACTCTGTTCGTCTTCTAAAGTAAAGAACATAATAAACCTTTTTTCAATAATAGTGTAATACGTACCATGCCCTACTAGTGACCATAATTACTATCATCATTACAGCTTTGGAAAAAAACCTGACCCATAATCACATCGGCTTTTCCTTCTCGGCCTTCCTGCTCCGACATCTCGTACCCCAAGTTCTTCAAACTTTTCCAAACAACTGCCCTTATCTGAATCTTGATACTGTGCTGAGACAAACAAAGATAAATGCTGGCAAGGAATATGTCCCAAGGCGGCGAGCATCGCTTACTACGTAACCTTCCGCCGTTGCCACCTCAACAGCGTACCCAATCCGCCTACTCATGGTAATCACACTGCCTCGCCTATTTCTCCTACAAACCCTATTTCTCCTTGTTCACCCACTGTTGACTTTTTTAATATGTATTTCGCCGTGCTGAATATCCGCCTTGAATATATATTACATTCTGCCATACAATTTATTCAGTTATCGAAACAGATCCGCATACACCCAGCATGACAGCTCAGCTGCGACTCCCTCCATGAACTTCATCCTCTTCACCGTTTATTATTAAGAAAGCTTCCCGCCAATCGTCTGTCCCACGATTGCAGTCAAGACACGCGCCGAAAAACTGGGCCCTATCGAAGTAATGTCAGCTGTTCGCAGCGGCTATGCGTGGAGCAGGCAGCAGCCGCCGAAGCAACACCAGCGACATCAACACGCACCCCTGTAGACTCCGGTTGTGCCAGACGAGTAGTCGCCGCCAGTAGTGGCTGAGGTGTTGCCCAGTGAGGGCGGTCATCTATTGGATGCTGCCTGGAGGTGGAGAAGTGAACGTTCAATCGTCGTATACGATACGACTAATTGCTCTATCGTTATTATTGTTGTGTTAATGGTCAACTTGTTAATGCTGCTGCTACTACCGAGACGGCAAATACGTAATACGATGTGACGTGTGGAGTCGAAGAGGAAACAGGCCACCGAGTTTGCCCAGGGCTTCCGTCAACCGTTTAACATGAAGAGGTGTGTGTGCTAACTGCACAAGCAAGGTGGTGTTAACGCTAAAGGGGTGACAACAGCATAAAGTCTGCAGGAAGTGCTGGGGCAAACGGCGCTGCTACTGTTTTATGAAAGTACCGTTGAAGCTTGTTTCTACTATTACTGAACAGATAGCACCTCGGTGGACCATTGTCATCGCTATTAATAACCAGGCAAGCGTCTTTCTATTTACTGAGCAACGTTGAAAAGCGGTAGAGGCTAGCACCAGGCGTAAATCGAGCCCAGTTCACAGGAACTACATTAATAAGGACGAGAAAGTATAGAAAACGAGAGGCAGGTATAATATACACGGCGCTCGTGACTTGCCAAGTACGATTTAGATAACCGATAAATTAGCCAAGCACCAACAAAGGCCCAAATAGAGGTGACCGCACAGTTCCACTTTTTTGCGAACAGTTTGATCCGCCCCCGAGGCTCGATGAATTGTCACTTCAGGAAGAAGGTTTATTAATACTATTACAATAGCTAAAGCAGTGGTCGCGTGTTGTCTTCTCTTTGGAAAATTTACGTCTGACAGCAACAGTCTACTTAGATGCGGTTGTTTCCATCGTCAATCAAGACCTCTTAGTAGTGAGAAGCTGATAAATCGACTCTTGAAACAGTTTGTCTAGTGGCATGCAGATATTATAAGCCAATCATCCAACTATATAAATGGCTGTTAGCTAACATGTCCAGGGGCGGACGCTAATCAATGGGAACGAAATTGAGGTAGAGTTTTCCCGTGCAATCATTCGTGCGCCGTCCACTTATGAGTGTGATCGTTTCGTTTAGTCAGAAGAGATGAAATGACGACCTCAGTGTATCTATTCTCCTACTGATACTCGTAAGATTTCTTGTGGTGACAGGACACTGAACTACCTAATCTAAGGAAGAAGGAAAGAGAAATTGGTCAACTGATGAGGTCAACTTGCACAGCCGCAGCTGTCCATGGGACTTCGCTACAATCAAGCGCAGCTGCGCAAATACAATATCAATTGTTAGCGGTCCACCAATCTTAACTACAACACTGGCAAGAGTCTAAAGAAAAAACTTATTAGCGGGAAACGCCGCGGAACGGAGACAGACGGTAACGTCGACAATACCAATTTCCAGGGAATTGAAATCAATCGACGAGTATTGCACTTGTTAGTATTTTCTAACAATAGCACTAGATGTATGAAGTCAGCAGCAAAGTGCAGGAGAGGTACAGCATGGTACCAAACAGAAACCAAACGTGTCAAACGGAGCTCACTACCGTGGCGACAACACGCCATTGTAGTTGTAGAGTGTGATTACTCTTTTTCATCGTCGATAAAGAACAGTACTTTGATCGCAAGCAAAATTCTGGCCTTTCCAGTTTTAAGAAATAGCCAGCAGTGCCGAAGAGGCTATGCCAAGTCAACGTACAGAAAGAGAAAACTGAAATACAGGAAAAAAAGGACAAGGAAATATGAACTAGACACAAGAAGAAAACAGAACGATTGTTGGAAAACTAATAAACAAATCGAACCTACATCGTCCCTTACAGGAGAGCCAATAACAATTATTCAGCCATAGCTTTGGTCTTGGTTTCAATCACGCTTTTCTTTTAAAAGCTCTTGGCCGCATTTAGGCTGACCTTGCCGGTCCTACGGTAGTCATCATTGTTGGGACCTGCTGTTCTATTCGTTCGAGTTTTTGATTTCACCACGTTGCTGCCGTCACTTAGGGTCAGCTAAAACCTACCCGAGCCTCTGGTATTGCAGTTTGGTCTCTTTCGGAGTATGTTTAGTTGATCCGCTTTTCGGACACATAGATATTGTATATAGAAATGGTGACGAAAGTAATTATGTTCCTCTAGTATTATCTCTCATTTTGATGTTGTTCATGAGATACGTGCGGCCATTTTACGCACATACGACGTTCATATTTCTGATCGTTTCCCACTGTTTTGCGTAGTGTAAATGCAATATCATGAGCCGCATGCTATCAAACAGCAACGAAAGCAACAGCCTTAACAAGCCATGATGACTGTTACAATTAGAACCAATGCGACTCCAAGCTCTGCCGTCACTAAGTCTTCTCAGCATGTCTGCTAAAAACTATCAGAATATCAGATGTAATATTAATAGAATTACCTGTTATAACAACTACCGCTTAAACTACAACAAGTAATAGAAGTACGAGATAGTATCAATCGTGTCATGGCCTGTGCCACTTCTATTGGTCGTTGTCGTAAAGCAGGTTACTCGTACGCAATTAACAAGTTGCAACGAGCTGCGTGATTGTAGCCGCGTATTCAACAACAGCTTATATTTCTACTGTGAGCGAAACGTGCAGCAGGCGTCAACCAATACTGCCGATCATCGAGAAAGGCGCGCACGCACAAATGCTACGATTGATTGGTGTGATTTGTGAATGCAAACCGGATGTAGGAGCGACTGTCTGGGAGCTCGAGCGTGGGTGCTGTACGGTGCTGTAACCATATGTGTAATCGCGTTAGCGTGTTTGTCAAGTTGTCATCCACGTTTGCATGGTATCTACGTGAACACCCGATTATCGGTATCCTTCGTAGCGGATTCCTCTGCGCTGTCTAGTTGATTATAGTTAGGCAAATAGTAATTGTAGTGGCGTATGTTGCTAAATTAAAAGCGCATTGCTGCTATAGCTGCACGGACCGAACGACTGTCTGTCTGCGGTAATCTTGCTTGCCGCAAGAGACACAACGAATAACGGCGAATTAAGAAGTCCTTGAGAGAAAGGTCATATTGTTTAAGCTCTGATCCTCACGAACAAAGTGAGCAGTTCGGGGACGCGGGAAACGAAAGTTAAGGGGAAAGGGGAAAGCAACGACGCCTGCGGAAGTTGGCAAGAACTCTTATCTTTTACCACCGAAGACAAGACAAGAGGTCCAGAAGTGTTTGCTTCAGCAGAAGGAGAGTACTGACCGTGCGTAACCTTTGGGAGTGCTACCGAAAACCGCTGAGTAGCTGTTAGAAGAATAGAAGTGCAATAAATATTCTGGAAACTGATGACGTGGTATGCGATCGCCTTGATTCACGACTGAATGTGAAGGAGTGCCTCAAGAATATTGCTGTCATTATTTACTAATAGAAACTTGTATTGGTCTCACGAACCGAAGTTCAACTGCAAAAAGTCACATGAAGTAAAACACTTAGCATTGGCTAAAGAAGAAGATTATCGGAAAATATCGTCGCACTATAGAGCATTGAAAAATATGGTTGTATAACGGCCGGCAAGAACAGAATACAACGATCAATTCAATCATTACCATCGCCACAGCTGTGCTCGTATTTATGCAATCAATAGAGCTAGACGGACAGTAGAGGAGTAATGGGCAAGCTCAAAGACACAGTGTCGGAATTCCTAACCGAGGCGGGCAAGTCATCTGCGGCAGCGGTCACGCTGTGTCAGCAGGACTCTGTGGTGAAAGCGTTATTCCAGACGCTCGAGGATGCATCACTTTACGCCATCTTTCTCGAGTCAATCTGTGAGTTGCTGTTCCGGTTCTGCCGGTCCGAGCTCGAAGAGTTGCAGCGGTTTTCGTCGTACTTCATTCCGACGGCGTTGGCCTTATATCTCCGGTTGAACCGGCACCCTGCAGCTCGAGCCATCGACTTATCCCATCTTGAGGTATACCTGCTGGCAGCGTACAATATCGAGACCTGTGATACCGAAGGGAAGGAGATCGTCCATTCTTTCACGGTGCCGGCACTGCATAAGCCGTCGATCTACCACGAGTCGATGATGCCGCCGGCGTCAGCGGCTCTCACGGAGAACGCGCTCTCCCGTCTCGAGCAGGGACTTCACGACGCTCGCGTGGTTATCGGACCCTTTCAAGAGGCGGTACGGATTAGCCGTGACAATGTGCACCGGATATCGGCGCTCTTAATGAGAGTCTACAATGCCAACATTTCATATATGCCGGGCGCGTCGAGAGAAGCTACACTGCGTGGAGCGCAGAAAGTGATCAGCCAGCGATGCCCGCGAATAGAACTAAGCTCAGAATACCTCCTAGAGGTGCTGCACTGCGCATACTTCTCAATGTTCAACGGACAGTATGTTCTTGGTAAGTGTTATGTGTAATAGCTGGGAAGGTAATTAGATCTTATTAGGTGGGTAATATTTTTATTAGGTACGTATTAGGCTAGTTGACGTAATTTGTGTGTTTTTGTTCACTTTGTATACGCGCCGATAATTCAATAGGTAATAAGGCAGAAATTATTGTATATTGTTGTGTATTGCATAGGATAGCCTATGCTTTTCATAACTATTCACCTTCGACTACCTGCAAGCAACCGGTGAAACAATGTGTTCAAAATCGTAATATTAAGATTTATTTATTCACAACAGCAAAACGGGTTATTTCGTAAACATGCACCTTCGGTATAACCCAGTTTTCTTTCATCATGTAGTGACAAACTGTAGGATAGGATCAGGTGAATTGATAAGTTAACGGACTCCTTCTTATCGACTTAATATTATAGGTATATTCAAAGAATACTTTATGCAGTGAGGCGGTTAAACACTTGCATAAACGGACATGATTATTGTTGGTACATAGGCGCTCCTTGCTGTTTAATAATTAAATAAGAATTAAATACGCTTGTGTGCAAACGCTGCAATATCAATATAAAAAAACGAAACGCTATGTTTAAATTTTTACTTTTCTTTGGAACATTTAAACGTTCAATCCATAAAAAAATTTGATGATCAATTAGTCATACAACAAAAAAATGCAAGTTTTATATTTATGCAGCACAATTACTTTGTGCGTGGGTTCTGTTCAATATATAAGGTGATGTTCAAAAAACACTAAAAAATTCAATTGGATGCATTAAAAAAACGCACGAAAATGTTCGCTTCTATATCGCTTCTATGTATATTTATTTTCTAGTCCATAAAAAGAGGTTAAGGGCCTGCGTACAAAATTGGGCAAGCTAATTCTAAGACATTTGCTTTATAATAAAAAAATATTTATTTATTCGTCTTGTTAAATATAGGGAAAATCTTTGTGAATACCAAACATATATCTTTTTGCTCCTTTTTCATATTAAATTTTAGCATGATCCCAAACAGTGTTTGCGATTCCTAGTTTCCTTCTAGCTTGTTGAATTTTTTCCCAGGATATCATAGTTTTTTAGAAAAAAAAAAGTTGCAAAAAAGCCTAGTTCCGGCGATCGTTAGTGTTGGCATAAGACTGACTTGGTGGGAAAAAGCGATATCTACAGTAAGTTACTGGCTGGCACGTTATTGTAAGTATAGGTTTATTGAGTGGCCCTATAAACCTGTGGGCCCCCGGGCCGGATTCTCTATATTATATTATTATTTATATTCTTGGTAATATTCGTCAATGACCATAGAATCATGCGAAGAATAATGATTTTAGTAACAATAATATTTTTTGCTAATCTGTCCGCACTGTCATCGGCTAGAATTGTTAAAATCCTCAAGGAAAAGAATTTGATCTTAACGCCATCCTGGCTGTCTGAGACACGCATACGTGTGTAGGACAAGAACTTACGCAGTTCGATCCTGTTCTCAAACGGTTCGAGATAAAATTATGTAGTAGCTTGGTTAATTGCAAATTTAGAGAGTACGTTATCAGTAAAGGGGCTTTCCACCAAACCCACAAACCTAACTGGTTTATAATACTTTTTCAAGAAAACCAAGAGTTCTGAAATCCATTGATCAATCTCTGCACAGAAAAACAACGATAAAATGCGAAGATATTTTCACAAATGTCGCACTAAGCGAAGACTTAACTAGGCAGCTACTTTTTGATGAGCCTACAGATTTCGATCGCATGGCGTTTATTGATTTTGCTTCCTAGCTCGAAATTTACCGGTAGAATATTGTTATTGAAAAAGAGAAGCCAGAGGTAGCGCGTTTCAGTGACAAAAGAAAACAAGGCTCTGCAGCACTGTCCAAGGATATACGAGTACCAATTAAATTTATTTTCCTTATACTACATCCTTCACCACCACTTGACAAGATCCTATATTTAATGTTTTTTCTTTCCAAAATATACATTCAAATGACTCATCTTTATTTTCGAAGAGAAAACGATTTACATTTTGAATTTGAAACATCACATTGAACGTATGCCCACGTGGGAATGAGCAAGAAAACAACATGAGTAAACAGTCGAATAAGCCGATCAGGTAAACATTATCTACCCAAGCAGCATAGCACCTTAATAAAAAAAAATGCTGTAGCTGCATTCTGGCAAAGTATGCTAAACTTAATGGTACTTTTACATTTATCTTTGAGAAAAAGCACTTTTTACATGCACTGAATGAAAACAGAAGAGATGATGCAGCCACGCGCCACCAGCTTCTCGCTTAATTACTTTGTTGGTCCCATATTAGCCACTATCTGTGTATGTGTTCTATTATTGCAAAAAGTTGTAACGTAAAAGGCAACAGAAGGTTGACGTTATTATGATGCTGACTAATGTTTTTTGAGTAGATCTTTCGGGCGACTTCTGTTGGTTTCTTATTGAGCCTTCACTAAAACATTTTGAGCATTAATCGTACAGTATATCGTTCTGCCACGTGACATAAACGCCGACTGAAAAAAGTCGATACAATTTGTTCTGTTTATGCTTTTTATTTTCTAGCTTTCTGTTTGGGTGTTATTATGTGAGCATTTTTAAGAAATTGTTTTTACTAGTTCGCTTACTTAGTTACGAGCGATCGTCCAGTGGAGTTACGGTGACGAGCCTATTTCAATAATAGTGACGTTTGTGTCGTATTGTTATGTAGTTAACAGCCTTTTCTGGTATCATTTGCACTGATAATTCCGGTGGACAGCGCTGCAAGACCACCACCAAGTAACCAGTCGATACTTACGTGTGCGCAATAAAACATGCAACCCTACTTACTGCTGGAAAGCCGCAGTAAGCTATTCTGCCATTGAGCTGCTATTAACATGTAAGATAGTGAGTGCAGTGTCTGCTCGTCAGATAAAGGTAGAGAAATATATTTCAAACACATAACAGACATGACGGATCATCTGCCTGTTGTTGTCGGATCAGCATACTTCCGCTAAACAAAATTGATGTAGCTATTTTAACTCTAGGTGTGTGGCAATACTGTGAATACATATTTCGATGGACTCGCTTGCTCTGAGCTGAACTGGTGGTTACATAACTAATGCGAAATACATAGTCTTTTTGTAGATGTTAGACGCTGGTCATAACAGTTAACTCAACCATTATACCCATACCCATTAGTAGACTCGGTGTCAGGAAAGACGCCACTGATGTATATTTGGTGTATTTTTAGGCAAACGTAGTAATGTTGCAAAAAGCTAGCTTAAGATATTTTTCTGATGGTTAAAGATAGCATGAGTCCTTACAAAAGCAGTAACAGATCGCAGAAAACACATACATCAAAGACTGTCAATAAGTATACTGTTTAGTCGATTTAGTCAGCTGAGTCTACGGTCTTTGATCCAGGACAACTTAGGATAGAACGTTTTTATACTTCATACGTTTCTCAAGGATCCTTTAGTCCTGTCACCCATTCATTGTGTCTCAGTTATTTGAACAACTGAGGCACCTTAAAATCGTCCTAATTTAAAGCCTATTTTCTTCTTTAAAAATGTGAACTATGCGTGTTACTATAAAATGACCAGTAAGGAAAATCGAAAAATTGTTAATATTTCTATGCCATTTTTGTGCATTAACCGCACTTATAGTCGTCTTAATATCGGCTAACGACTTTGCCAATATTAACCGGGCCAATATTAACAACAGCCAACATAATTGGGTAACCTCGATCCACTAGTTTCTAGTCGAAGCCCATCATTTTATTTACTTAATTAATTACATTTTGTGAATTTTTTCTTTAAAATGACTTTAGCGTTCTTCATAACTCTTGTGATCTTCGATGCCTTCTGTCACTTCTGCGTTTGGAAGAGCCATGCAAGCCGCTAGCCAAATAACGATGCCTGTGTACAGTGATGTTAAGACTTGTTCTACAATCGCAGTTTCATTTTTCTTCCTAGGTAAACACCATTAATTTACTAAAGCTCGCCTTTTATTATCATGTCAGACGGGTTTTTGGCTTAGTGCACCCATTTTATACGTGTCGATATTACTTAACCAAGTTGACCATTAACGGTTGCTTGAGTACCGCCACCATATTTCAAAACAATATATTTCAATCATTTAAGAGACTCACGATGAGACAAGGCGGAGATCATTCAAAGGTTATTTATAAACGGCAAAGAACCTATTTGAACAAAAGACTAAACACTATATAGCTACTGTACAGAACGACATTAGCCAAAACTTCTCGTCGCATTGGGTTTGTTTAATCGTGACATACGGTACTTGTGATAAAAAGAAAGTGTATTCGGAACCATCTCATGGTTACAAAGTGGGCAAGTACCGAATCGAACAGTTTGCTTGTGACGCTGCAAGAACAAGGTGCAATGAGATAATATCTTGTGTTCATATATTTATAGCATTTATGTACCCGATTTCATCGGCAGAAAAAAGCGTTTGGTTCCAACTGAGGGTTTGTTAAATGGCTTGAGTCACATCAAGTATAAGTGCAACACTCTGCAGCAAATTAGATATGACATTGTAACACGTGAGGTGATAGCAATCAAAGAGTAGGATTCAAATATGCTGGCATGTGCCACAGGTGTTATGGCCGTCTTCATAAGTCGTTATTTTGGTTACTGTCTCAATATAGAGCGCATAGGCATTCACCAACCGGACGAGGAGGTTCTTTTTCCTCTCTATTTACTAAGTATAGAAATTAACTATTAATATTGAACTCAGGCACCTGAATAGTTTGACCTTGTCTTGCATGGTGACTTTAAATGTATCGGGTAGCGTTGGTGTTGCCTAGTCTATATTTCTCTGTTCAATGAGAATATCAAAACACTAGGTATCTTTTAAGATGATTAAATAATTGTCAGTCAATAAAAGCCTCATGCTTGAAAGCTTGAAATATTTTTGTACTTTTGATGGCCTTGAAATGTCCTAAAATTATTCCAAGATGCATTTATCTATAAGCTGAGCTAGCAAAGCATAGTTGCATTTCGCTGCTT